GCGCCTGGGTGGCTCAGCCATTAAGCGTCTGCCTTCAGCTCAGGTCATGATCCCAGGGTCCTGGGATCGAGCCCCACATCAGGCTCTCTGCTCAGCAGGAGGCCTGCTTCTCCCTCTCCCACTCCCCCTGCTTGTTTCTGCTCTCACTAACTCTCTCTCTCTGTCAAATAAATAAAAATCTTTTTTAAAAAAAATAATAATAATAAATAAGTAATCTGAAACAAGTAAGGTAAATGATGTCCATTGGTTGAATCTGGGTAGCAGATACACAGATTCTACTTCTTTTCTATACATTTGAAGTATTTCATAATCTTAAAAATTTGTACCAGTTGTAAAGAATAAAATCTCGGGGGGCGCCTGGGTGGCTCAGTCGTTAAGCGTCTGCCTTCGGCTCAGGTCATGATCCCAGGGTCCTGGGATCGAGCCCCACATCGGGCTCTCTGCTCGACGGGAAGCCTGCTTCTCCCTCTCCCACTCCCCCTGCTTGCGTTCCCTCTCTCGCTGTCTCTCTGTCAGATAAATAAATAAAATCTTTAAAAAAAAAAAAAAAGAATAAAATCTCGGTTAGTTTTGTAATCCCTCCAGAGTGGCTGATCCCTCTTCCCTAGAGCCAAAGACTGTCCTAAAAGTTATGAGCAAGAAACAAAATCCCCCAAAAGAAGGTGCCGTGTTAGGAGTAGGAAAAGCGGAAGTCAGCAGTGTAAAGCGGAATGACAGGAGGCAGGGGGGCACCTTCAGGCCCAACTCCCAGCAGACTTGCCAATTTTCACTCAGCTCTGAGAGTTTTAGGAACATGGTCAACCCTCCTAAATATAATGGTATAAAAGCAGAAAGGGCGTCCATGCAAGGAAAACCAGAGGGGTGCACTCATGAGTTTGTTTATTGAAAGCGCTGATAAAATGATGAACATGGGGGGTGTATACCTGTTACAAACTGATGAGCAAAAACACAATAGGCTCCAGAAGGATCCCTGCACTATGCCATCCTCTGAGGATGAGGAAAACATGGGGCTTGGCTCAGTCAGACTCTGAAGTAAAGTAAATTGCTGCCCCCTCTTCCCTGGCCTCCCACACCATATTCACTCAAGTCCCTGTTCAGTGGCCCCAGCCGCAGCTCAGCAAGTCCTCACCTAGAGGGGTCACATAGGCTGTCCAAGGTCACCGGGTCAGAAAATGAAGAGTCCTGTGTTCAAATCCAGATACAGTTGATTCCAAAACCCATTTGTCTTCCACACTAAGCCTCTTTCTCCTGGCAGAGGCCCGGAGTCTGGACCGGCCAGGAGGACCCTCAGTGACACAGGGTCCTTGGGGAACAGAACCTGCCCCCCCCCAGATTGGGGAGCAACGTCTTGGGGGCAAATTCCCTCCGGGGGAAGCTGCTGCATAAACCCAGGCAGTCAGGAGTCACGCTCCCCCACACCAGGCTGAAAATGGTCACCATCGAGCTACAGGAGAGAAGGCAGCCAAACCTCACGGCTGCCGCCTGCAATGAGGAAGGGGGCTCAGCGCGCTGAAAGGAAATATTAACAACAAAACAGCTCTAACTTCCCAGATTTAGGAGCTGTTTAATAGCTGTGCAATTAGGCCATTTTGAATTCTCCAGATTTTTTTTTAAATAAAACCAACTGCCTCATTCCATTTTGTGGTGCTCTTATCCTCAAGCTGCCTGGAGTAGTTTTGGCAGCGTAATTATGTTTTCTGGGAAAATGTATTTTGCTGGAGGAAAAGACGTTTTCAGCCCTGTTTATGAAGCCGTCCTGCACTTCACCTCCCGAGCTCATTCTCCCACAGGGGCAACCAAAAGGGTCCCCCTCGCCTGCGACTGGAAGCTGCTGGGGGTGCTGCACAGTGCGTGCCCCTCGCTGGGGGTGAGGCCTTTTGCTCTGGCAGCCAACTCAGCCTGCCTATTCTCCCCTCCTGCTTGTTCAACTCTGAAAACCACAGCTTCTCTTTTGCAAGCTCATTCCTTGCTCCTCTTTCGAGATCAGGGGCTATGTGAAGGCCCCTGGGGAGCTAAAGCAGATCTGCCTGCCTAGCCAAGGGCAGGTCTCCCCCCAACCCAGAAGTGGGAAAACAGGCATCCTAGAAGCTGAGAAGAGGCTTTAGAGTAAGCAGCCTGATATATTTATCCTTGACAAGGACAAGATTTTCCCAGAGAGCCAGTATTCTAGTTGAAAATAGTTAAATTCTTCCATGGAACATTTTTCCTAATAAAACATAGTTTTGCAAGTTCTAGAGCAGACATTTAAGTAGACATGAACTCCCTCCCCATCTCACACCTTAGCACCACAAGAGCCTGTAGCACAGTTCAGAGGGATTTTCTCGATTCTTCTCTAGTCCCTGGTACTCAAATGTGGTCAACAGACCAGCAGTGCGGGCCCCTTCCAGGAGCTGGTTAGAAATGTACATTCTCAGGCCCAGCCCAGAGGCCAGAATCTGCATGTTAGCAAGTCCCCAGGGCAGTTAGATCAAGATGAGTGATTTTTATATCTCCCAAAGTTGAACATCCACATAGCCACATAACCACCTACCTTCAATTTACCCTCAGGGCTGACTCTCCTCTTCCACCTGCTACATTGTCTACTCCCACCGACCTCATGGAATTGTTGCAAAGTAACTGAATTTTGTACAGTGCTCAGTTTTGAAATGAGGACTAGGAGGATACATACCAACATCTTAACAGGGATTTTCTCTGGGTGGTGAATGATTTCTCCTTTCTTATTTGATCTAAATTTTAGTTTTTAAATTTCGTGCACTGAACTCTTTTCTTCTGTCACCACAATAAGAAGGATAGTTTATTTTAAAAGCAAGTAAGTGTGAACATCAACTAACAGAGCATGAGAAATGGTAAATTCCTTGTGGATGACCTGTTGCATTCAGCACCTGTGTAAACAGCTGGGCCTGGAGCCGCCTGCCCAGTTTCCCCAGCTGGTAAATGGTGACCTGCTCCCAGCTCCAGGGCCTCCTGGCCTCTGGCGCACTGCTGTTCCCTGTGCACCGGAACCCTTGAGCAGAAGCATGTCCAGGTACCTGCTTCCATCAGCACCAGCGCTGCGGTCAAGCCAGCCCCTCCATCCCTTAGAAAGACACACTTGGCCCAAGCCACAGGCTGGCAGCTGGCGCGGTGGCCCTTCCCGCAGGAGAGCTACTCAGATGTCTTCACGAGTGCATCCTGCGGGGTGTGGAGCCCAAGAGCTCACCACATTTAAGCGCAGGAGCAACTCTGAGAAGGAAAGGAACCCCCGTCCCCCAGCCTGTGTCGGAAGAGCGAGCTGGCTGGGGATGGGATGTGAGCAAAGCTGGCTGAGAAAGACTGAGCAGATTGCAAACCTCGAAAACAAACGCTGGTCTAAAGCCATGGGTCTCACAAGCATAGCTGCACATTAAATCAGCTGGGAGCTGTTCAAAGTCCTAGCAGCCAGGGCACCCCCCCAAACCAATCAAACCAGGGTCTCTGGGCTGGGGCCCTGGCTTCAGGGGTTTTCTCACTGCCCAGGTGATCCGGTGTGCAGCTTAGGCTGAGAACCAGGGTTGGCCACGTTTTTTCTGTAAAGGACCAGATAGTAAAGATTTTAGTGTTTGTGAGCCACATGGGCTCTGTCACAACCAGTCTGCAGTTGAAGAGTGAAAGTGGCAGCAGATGACCATGAATGAGCGGGTATGGCCATGACCCAATAAAACTTTATTTACAAAACAGCCTCAGCCTGGGCTCCTGTGGGGTGTCAGTCAGTTAAGCGTCTGACTCTTGATTTCAGCTCAGGTCATGATCTCACAGCTGTGAGGTAGAGCCCCACCCCATGTAGGGCTCCATGCTGGGCATGAGCCTGCTTAGGAGCCTCTTTCTCCCTCTCTCTATGCCCCTCCCCCTCCCCACTTTCTCTCTCCCTCTCTCTAAAAAAAAAAAAAAGGCAGCCTCAGCCAGATTTGGCCCCAAGGGCCCAGCCCACCACTGGTTTACAGCAGAGGTTTTCAAACTTGAGCAGGGATCATCAGCATCCCCAGGAGAGCTGGGCCCACTCTCATCCTGTCTGATTCAGTTGGCCTGGGGTAGGCCCAGAATTCACATTTCTGACCCATTCCCCCAAGCTGCTGATGCTGGTCTGAGAAGCACTGGTCAACGGCCACTGTAAAGTGTATTTGACCCCAGAACCCATTCTATGATGGCAGAATGCCGACCACTTCCATAATGCTTGCCTTCAGGGAGCCACTTGGCAGGTGCTGGAGGATGGGCTGCCCTACATGATCCATTCCAGCTACCCCTCCATCCAGCCGCCTGTCTCCACAAGTGCTCCACCGGGCCAGCGAGGGGCTTGGCAAAAGAAGGAAGCCCTGGCGGCTCCCCTCAGCTGATGCCCGTAGCCTGTCCTGGGCCAGCCCCAGAAAGAACTTGTTCCATCTGAAATGAGTCTGCTTTCCCCATTCAACTCAAACCAGCCCGTTTCCGTCCTGTCTGCTGGAAGGTCCACAGGGCAGCCCTCGCCAGCCGGCAGCTCCCCTTCCTGAACTGCCTGCCAACCGGACACCCCGAGACGCCAGTCCCCCCACCCTTCACTCTTCAATACCTCCAGACGTTTTCAGAAAACAGCTTCATCCTCACGGGCGAGAGTGAGAGGAAAGACCCCGTGACGAGCTCACACAACATCAGCAACAGCCAAATTCAACAGGAACGATACCCGGGGGCTAGTGAGCCAACAAAAGCTTTTAAAGACTCTATTTAAAGTTATTTAAAGACATTATTTCTTTAAAGCAACAAAATTGAAAGTACAGAGATTTTCCAAATACACCCTGCACCCACATGTACAAAGCCTCCCCCACAAAGGGTTTGCCTCATGGTTCACCTGCAGCATTGTCCATTCTCTAGTTTTGGACAAAGGGAAAATGACACACAGCCATCATTAGAGCATCATACGGAGAGTTACACTGCCTTAAAAGTCCTCCGTGCTCCTCCTATTCGTCCCTCCTTCCCCCCACCCCACCCTTGGCAACCACTGATCCTCTTACCGTCTCTATAGTTTTGCCTTTCCCAGAATGTCATATAGGTGGAGTCACACAGCATGTAGCCTTTCAGATTGATTTCTTTCACTGAATAATATGCATCTGAGCTTCCTCCATGTCTTTTCATGGCTTGATAGCTCATTTCTTTTTATTGCTGAATAATATTCCATCGTCTGAACGCACCACAGTTTACTTATCCATTCACCTACTGAAGGACATCCTGGCTCCTTCTAAGTTTTGACAATGATGAATAAAGTTGCTCTAAACATCCACATGCAAGTTTTTGTGCAGACATCAGTTTTTCACTTCTTTGGGTAAATACCAAGAAGCACAACTGATCATATGGTAGAAATATTTCTAGTTTTGTAAGAAACTGCCAAACTGTCTTCCAAGGTGGCTGCAGCATTTTGCATTCCCACCAGCAGTGAGTGAGAGTTCCTGTTGCTCCATGTCCTCACCAGCACTTGGTGCTGTCTGTCTATTGGGTTTTGACCATTCTAATAGGAGAGTAGTAGCATCCCATTGTTGTTTTCATTTGCATTTCCTTGATGAGTATAATGTGGTGCATTTTTTCATATGCTTGTTTGGCATCAGTACATCTTCTTCAGTGAGGTATCTGTTGGCCCATTTTTTAATTGGGCTATTTGTTGTCTTGAGTTGGAAGAGCTCTTTGAATATTTGGGATAACATCTTATATCAGATGTGTTGTTTGCAAATATTTTCTCCTAGTCTGTGGCTTCTCTTCTCATTCTCTTGATGGGGTCTTCCACAGAGCAGAATTTTCTAATTTTAATGAAATCTACCTTATCAATTCTTTCTTTCATGGATCATGTCTTTGGTGTTGTATCTAGGAAGTCATCACCACACCCAAGGTCATCTGGGTTTTCTATGGTAACTTCTAGGATTTTTATAGTTTTTATTTTATATTTGGGTCTGTGATCCATTTTCAGTTAACTTTTGTGAAGGGCATAAGGTCTGTGTCTAGATTTATTTATTTGCATATTGATGTTCCGTTATTCCAACACTGGTTGCTAAAGAGACTGTCTTTGCCTCATTGCATTGCCTTTGCCCCTTTGTCAAAGACCCGCTGACTATATTTATGAGGGTCCATTTCTGGGGTCTCTATTCTGTTGCGTTGATCTATTTGTCTTATCCTTCTCCAAGCCAGTGAATGTTTGTCCTCAGTAGTCCTACTTCTGAGCAGCCCTGATTCAAGGAGCCAGATCAGCCCCCTCCCACCCACCTCCACGACTGTGGCAGAGGCAGCCTCCCCTGCACAGTTGGTTCTCACAGGTGTAACATGGAGTCTGGGATGTCCAACGGGGGATGGCCCCGTTGCCATCTCAAATTGATACAGGAACATCTTCGCTCTAAATCTGGGAACATTTACGTGAACTCTGAGCTCTAAAAGCCCCCTCCTTTCAGTCAGTAACTCCTCTGATGTAGAGAAGCTCTTGCCTGTTAAAACAAGTTGGTCCCTCGGAAGGAAGGCATTCCCAGGGAGTCCAGCTATCAGAAACCGCATTCTGGCTGCTCTGAGGGCAGGGAGCTTCTGGCACATTCTCATCCACCTGCAGGTCAGCCACCCCCAGGTCCTGTGGGTTCCTTGAGAACAGACCCTTGCACAGATAAGCCCTAGAGGAGTTACTGATAGGATCTCAATGGCCTCCTACATTGTTACGACATAGGGGCTGGCTTTACAGACAAGGAAACTGAGGTTGAAGCACATCCTGAGTAGGTGGCAGGCCTGGGTTTCACCCATGCCTCCTGTGAGACTCTAGGCCCACAGATGCCCATCGCTTTTTGGAGCACTCGGTAGGTGCTCAGTAAACAGTGGTAGAGCAGACGGCCAAGGAATGGACGAAGCATGCTTGGCTTCACCGCAAAACCCATTTTTTGCCAGTGAACTTTGCTTCCAGCCAGCCCAACAGGAGAGCTTCAGATCCTTGGGAGAGTGGACTCCCTGCTCGCCTCCCTGCGTTGTGGTCTGTTTCTTCCTTGTGTGTGGGAGCCAGTCCTCCGTGCGCAGGCTGCCAGGCCCTGGACATGATGGCTCTCAGCAGACAGCTATGTGGCCCCAGTGCATCAACACGAGGCAGGTGCTGGGTCACACCAACCCCCACGTTCCCGAAGAGGCTCTGCAACAAGACAGAAGGGTCAGAACAATCTGAAATGCACAAGTCTCCAAGACTTGTGGCAGCAATTAGGAACACCTGTCCTCTCGCATGACTTCAGCTGATCCATAATGACTCCAGGGCAGCTGGTCCAGCAAGGTAATGAAGGGCCACCAAAGTGTCACCTCCCCTCCTTGCAGAAGTATTTTCCCTTCTGACAGCCAGGCCTTTGCTGTCTCAGGCCCAGCTCAGACCCTGGGGACATCTCCTGCCTTGCGTGGAAAAGACTCCCTTTTCCACTCTCATTAAGTTCTCAGTTTGCCAGGGCCTTGCCCTGAAAAGGGTCCCCTGGAAGACAGAGCAGTTCCTCATTTTATGGAGCCCTTCTCCAGATCCCTGATGCCCCCACGGCCCAGCAACTGCTTTCTGAGCTTGAGAAAAGCTGAGCTAGCTGGGGCAGAGGGCAGAGGGGGAGGGGAGTGAGCAGCCACACAGAGAACAAAAGGGAGAAAGGGCAGCAGCCCCAGACATGTGGCCCGCCCTGGCCCGTTCGTGGGATGTCCCACAGGTCAGAGTGGGGGCTGGGGCGACCTCAGGGGTCTCTGCACAGTTGGGATGGAGCACGCAGGAAGTAACACCCCCAAGCAGCCATTTTGGACAAAACACTGTGTTTTTTTTACCTAGAAGCATCAAAAGCAGGTGTCCTGCAGACTTCTTCCTCCTAGCAGTGGTTCTCGGCCTCGAGGCCAAGAAATTACACAGTGGGATCACCTGGCCAGCCCAGGCCCACCCAGGGAGCCTGCTGTGGCCGCTTGGGATGTAGCCCAGACTTGAAAGCCACTGGTGCAGGGCCCTCCCCCCATGCCTGTGGGAATGCGCACCCAAGTGTAAGGGGTGGTGAAGGTGCACTAGGGAAGGCTTTGTGGGGAGACGGTGAGGGGTGAGGTGAGGGAGTGAAGATGTGTGCTGGAAGGTGGGCCAGAAACAGGGACTGGAAAGGCCGGGGTGCTGGATGATACCCACTCGTGTGGAAAGTAACAGCGTATCTTAGGCTGTGTAGACAAGTCCTCTGCATCCAAGACCCCACGTGTGGAGATGGCCAGGCAAGCACCCACCAGCTGGACCTTCCCACGGATTTTACAATAACCTCAAGATAAAATGCAACATCAACCACCGGAGGCGCTAGGAAGCCACCCGGCGCAGGCAGAAGCCAGCCAGGCACTGACGCTTGGAGGAGGAGAGGTGCACGGCAACCTTCCATGCCCACAGCTCCCAACGGGCCAGGCCCCCCTGCCCGCCCCAGGAGTGACCACAACTCCACAGCACGTGCACAGAAGGCTGGCGGACAGCGTCAGTGCGTCCACAACCCCAGGAGACTCAGAAAGGAGAGGGCCAGAAGGCAGAGCCCGGTTCCATGCATGCCACCGGATCCCCCCGAGCCTAACCCTCAGCCCCCATCTCTGCTTCTTGGGTCTTCCTTGCAAAGCCCGCCATCTTTGTTCTCATTCACAGGCACCCACATTCACACTGTACACAAAACATGCACCGATGCAAACATGCTACCTGCATTCACACGCGCCGCATGCACCGGACACGCCGTGCACAAGCAGATACAGATAGACCTACTCCCCGAGGCCCCCGTGTCTATAGCCGACTCTACTAAAGGTGTAGAGAAAAGGAGAGGACTTACATTTCAGAGCAAGGTGACTTGGCACCTCATGTCAGGAAAGCACTCGGTGCTTCATCCAGCTCTGCCTCCTGCCTCACTCAGTTGGCACCACCCTCTCTCAACCCCCCTGCCCCTTCCAAGGTCACGGCTGTTCCTTGTGCAGTGTGGTTTAGAACCTCTCCATCTTCCCTTTCCAACCCACATGTTGGAGCCTTCACTTCCACCTCAAAGTCCTCCCCACCCTCGCCCCCGGGAAAGGAACCGCATCGAGCCAGCGCTGGGAAGAGGCGCAGCACCTCTGCAAGCCCTTCTCAGAGTGCTCGGGGGCCGTACTGGGTATGCTGCATGAGGGAGCCCACAGAGAGGCCACAGAGGGAAAGAGGCGGCTGCTGGCCAGCCCCGCTGCTCCCTCCAGCCCTGTCCCACTGGGTCGCAGAGTGGGTGGCAGACCCCCAGAGCTCACCCAGGGCCTGAGAGGGAAGCGCAGTGGGTGATGCTCGCTGTTTGGGCCACCACACTCAGGATGGTGGGTTACACTGCAATAGGCCATCTCAACACCTGAAGCCTGTTCCAGGTCTCCACAGCACCGCACGGATGTCTCTGGGAGCACAGGTAATGCTTCCTTTGACCTCATATTTCCAGGAAACAGTCAACAGATGAAAGAAAGGGAGAAAGGGAGGGCGGGAGGGACAAAGGCAACCAGGCAGTCGGGTAAAAAGAGAAGAGAAAGTTCACTGAACTGGAGAAACTCCCAGCCACTTGCATTTGGGAAGACCTTGTCCAAAAGCCAGCCACATCATAAGCCCATCTCTCCTTCAGGTACCCAAAGTCCTCGAGGGCCCAATGGAGTCCAGGTACCCCTCCTCCTCACCCATTTTGGAGCAGGACCATTCTGGGGAAGTGAAGGTCAGCTGGAGGTCAGGGTCCTGCTCAGGTCCCACACTCACCACCCCAGGCTGATGGTAATGTCCCCCTTGACCACCAGGGCAGGACATCACTGCCCAGATATCCATAGCAGACCTTCCCAGTCACCTGTAGCACCAGCCCCTGCATCTGCTGACCATCTCTGCTTCCTGGGTCTTCCCGCCCAAGGCCCACCATCTTTGTTCTCATTCACAAGCACACACAGCAGAGGGGTGGTTGCTGCCTGAGATACGGGTCACTGCTCCGGAGTCTTTATCCATGTGTCCCCTTCACAAATGATGTAAACCAAATCCTGCACAACTGGCACATGAACGTGGCCCCTTGTGTAAAGGTCCCAGGTCCCGAGTCCCCAGAGCAAAAGCACAGTGGTGCCTATTCTCATCTATAATGTATATTTGATTAAAACTCACTCACCCGGGATGCACCCAAAGATTTGTGCACAGAGATGTTCATCACAGAGCTATTTATCTGTATGAAAACTTATAAACAATGGGCTATACAAATGAGTTACATGCAAGAAATTACTCTGTAGTATAAAAATGACACTTTCACATGAAAACTCATTGAAGCTACATGTTTATGGTATGTGCATTCTTCTGTGTACATTATACTTCAATAAAAATTAAACTTTTAAAGAATATTTAATGACATGGATAAATAGAAACAATATAATGATAAATAAGAGACAATTGAATATACAATGTGAGCTACATTTTAAATATATATAAAATGCTTAAATATACATATAAACAAGGGTGTGTGTTTATTACTGAAAGAAAACCACAGAAATATTATGAGAGATCTGTGGATAGTGAGACTATACACAAGTTTTCTTATATTCATTATACTCTGTGGTATAACAATTCAGATTTTCTACATAAAATATTATCACTCACCTAGATGGATAGGTGATAGAGAAAGGGAGAGAGAGATAGCAGATAGATGATATACACAGGATGGAATACTATTCAACCTTAAAAGGAAGGGAATGCTGTCATTTGTAACAGAGTGGGTGATCTTGGGACACCTGGGTGGCTCAATCAGTTAAGCATCTGCCTTCGGCTCAGGTCATGATCCCAGGGTCCTGGGATCGAGTCCCGCATCGGGCTCGTTGCTCAGCGGGGAGCCTGCTTCTCCCTCTCCCTCTGCCTGCTGCTCCCCCCGCTTGTGCTCTCTCTCTCTGACAAATAAATAAAATCTTAAAAAAACAAAAGAGTGGGTGGATGTTGAGTGTTCTAAGCCAAATGAAATAAGTCAGAGAAAGACAAATACTGTATGATTTCACTTGCATATGGAGTTTAAAAAAAAAAACAACAACTCTCATACAAAAAGAGATCAGACATGTGGTTGCCGGAGGTGGGGGCAGTGGGGAAACAGATGAAGGGGGTCAAAGGTACAAATTTCCAGTAATAAGATATATAAGTAGTGTGGATGTAACGTACAACATGAAGACTATAGTTAACACTGCTGTTGGTGTATTTCAAAGTGACTAAGGTCGCAAATCCTAAAAGTTCTCATCACAAGGAAAATATATTTTTTTCTTGTTTTTTTTTTTCTTTTCTTTCTTTCTTTCTTTCTTTTTTTTTTTTTTGCATCCGTATAAGGTGATAGGTGTTAACTGAACTTATCGTGGTCCTCACTCCACGACACACATAAGTTGGGTCACTTCATGATACACGTACACCTTATATTTACACAGTGCTGCGTGTCAACTACATCTCAGTAACACTGAAAGAAAAAAAAATTCTGTGGTTTGGTTTTCTCTGCAGTTCTTCAACAGTTCTCCAAAGTCGAGGAGGAGGAGAAAGGTGCTCAAAGAGCTGGGCCTCCTGCCCCCAGACCTCCACTTGCCTTTGGCCAGCCCATGCTAGCTCAGTCTGCTTGCTTCTCTCTCTGTGACCGGGGCGGCATGGCCCTGCCCTGCACACCTGCCCGCTGTCTTCTAAGGCCCGTCCCCTCCGCAGGGCTCGGACACCCTGCTGGTAGCTGGCTGGAATAGCCCAGCACTGGGGTGGGCCGTGTGCTACCATAGAGGCCAGGAGCCCGGCTCTCCAGCAACTAATCCAGCGATGAGGACAAAGGCTCAGCAACCAGCTCAGCCTCCACACAGGGAGGTTCAGATTCAATCAAGACGCATTTGATCCCTGCCAGGATCAGTTCTCAAAAAAGAAAATGCATTCAGAACACTTGGACCCAATTCCTACAAAGCAGGCCGCGGTAACAATTTTATCTAGAAACTATGACACTGAATCCCCAGGGAGCTCGCCCTCGGGCATGCTGCACGGCAAGCAGGGCTCGAGGCCTGGAGGAAATCACACATGAAAAATAAGTAATCGAGAACCAAGGATCTCCTGGGAGTTGTTTGAAACACGTCTGAAACATATCATTTGAGAAATGACAAGATGAAGAGCAAGAGAGAACACTGGAGAGAAAAGGGGAAGAATTTAAAAAAACATTCCTGAACAGAAAAAAAAGTCATGCAGATAAATTTTAAAAATTAGTTTTTAAAATGAGTTAGTAGAAAAGCATGGTTGGGCTGAGGTGAGATAAGAGTTTTATTACACACGAGGCTGCAAAATGAGTTAAGCATCAGCACCCAGAGCTTTGCAGACACAGGGACACAGACCCTCACCTGCAGCTTGTGAATTCCTACAGCTTTTTGGGAAAGAAATCTGCAGTTGCTGTTAAGTTTCAAAATACACGCACTCCATGACCCAACGATCTCACTGTTGGAATTTATCCCACAGGAAACAGCAACAGGCTTTGCAGAGCTGTACCCTCGGCGTGTTCATTGGCTTGCTTGTGTGCTTGTTTCGAGCGTTGTTTGAGGCAGCCAGATGCTGAAACAACCCGAAGGTCCAGCGGAAGACAGAATCGAAACTCATTAAAAAGAGAAGTGGTTAAATCAGCAGTGGCATATTCATTCTCTGGAATATTAATTAAGTAGCAACCAAAGAGAATGGTTCAGATCTCTTCCTATGGCCTCCGTGGATCAACTCACGTACAGTTTTGTCTTTGTTGCAGCACTTTTTTTTGTCCTTAATTTCCATTTCCTATGTGTGTTGTAATATAAATATTTCTAAAGAGGCACAGTTTTGAATATAATTTAAAATGACATAACAAAATGGTCTGAGAAAAAAAAAGTGTTTTTGTTTTTGATGTTTTTGCATAGGGGCCATCCCTGGAGCGGATCCGACATGCAGAGGCCCACCGGGGTCCTGGCCGCGTCCATTCTCAGCCATTCTCAGTCAGTCTTGGTTGCGTAAGTGCTGACTGTGGTTTCACGCTTCATGCAGTGCACATGTTTTAGATGTGCTTCAGGGTGCATGTCAAATTTCACAATAAATGAATTTTAGCACTGCATGTGAAATCGGTTTCCGAAATCATAAATTGTAAGTCATAATTCGGTTTTTCCTGGCACAGTGTAAAAAAAATGGCAAAATCTTCATCAAAATAGGGAAAAATAAAACAAAGTGCATTATCTGGTGGAGAAATCTACCAAACATTTGGGCCCCCAGCAACCCTTTCAGTTCTGTGATACCTGTGCTAGCCTTAGCCTTTCTTTTTTTAATTTTTGACCCCTTTTACCCATTTCTCTCACCCATCCCTCACCTCTGGCAACCACCAATCTGTTCTCTGCATCTATGAGCTTGGTTTTCCTTTCTTTTTCCTTTTAGATTTTACATATAAGTGAAATCAGACAGCATTTGTTTCTCGGCCTTATTTCACTTAGCATTAGGGTCCATCTGTGTTGTTGCCAATGGCAAGATTTCCTTCTTCGTGGCTGAGTAATATTCCATTGTATATCTATGCCATATCTTCTTTATCCACTCATCTATCAATGCACACTTCGGTTGCTCCCATGTCTTGGCTATTGTGAATAATGCTACAGTGAGCATGGGAGGACCGATAGCTCTTTGAGTTAGTGTTTTCATTTTCTTCAGGTAAGTACCCAGAAGTGGAATTACGGGGTCATATGGTAGTTCTATTTTTAATCTTTTGAGGAACCTCAACAGTGGCACACCAATTTACAGTCCCACCAACAGTGCATGGGGGTCCCCTTTTCTCCACATCCTCGCCAACACTTGTTATATCTTGTCCTTTTTATAATAGCCATTCTGACAGGTCTTTTCATGTACCTCTTGGTACTGTTGTACTGTTAAATGAAAATAGTTTCCTGGGTCCATAGTGTGCTCCCATTTAAGTAAAAAAAAAAAATCTCATGCATATGTATATGTTTGTAGGAGCACGGGAAGATGCATAGGAAGCTGCCAACACAGGTTACTTGGGGTGAGGACTGTGTGTGTGTGTGTGTGTGCACATGCGCACACTAGTGATGAGAATAATTGAAAATCCTAAAGTTACAATCCCAGCTCCAAGAGTCTAATTACACCTTAATCACAAAAGTAGAATGCGCTCATCAAAATTAAAAATTTTAGCTTATGAAGACAGCATTTAGATAATGAAAAGACAAGCCACAGACTAGGAGAAACTATGTACTATGCATATGTGATAAATGATTTATATCCAGAATATATAAAGAAATACAAATCAATAATAAAAAGACAATCCAATTTTAAAATGAGCAAAAAACATGAACAAATGCTTCACAAAGTAAGATGCATGGAATAATAAGTATATGGAAAGATGCTCAACACCATTAGTTATCAGAAAAATGCAAATTATAACCACAGTGAGATGCTGTTCTGCACCCACCAAGATGGCTAAAATTAAAAAGAATGACAGTATCAAGTGCTAGCAAGGATGTGGAGCACCAGGAACCCATGCACCCTTCTTAGGAGTGAACAATGGTACAGCCACTTTGGAAAACGGTCTGGCAGTTTTTTATGAATCTAAACATATACCTACACAATGATTCAACAATGCTCCCTCCAAGGGAAATGAAAACATAAGCCCACATAATGAACAAATTATACAAGTACATCTATAGTAGCATTTTTCATGACAGCAAAACCTGGAAAAAATGTCTTCATACATCAACAAGTAAATGAACAAACAAAACGTGGTCTGCGGGCACCTGGGTAGCTCAGTTGGTTAAGCGTCTGCCTTTGGCTCAGGTCATGATCCCAGGGTCCTGGGTAGGGCTCCCCGCTCCTACCCCAGAGGCCAGGCCTGCACAAACTCCAGTCCACCAAACCAATGGAAGTCAGCTGCTCCACATCCACTGTGGCCACAAAGATGCCCCCCACACCTGGTCTTCTGAGGGGCAAGATTCCTGCCCACACTTTCAAATGGAGGAAAGGGGCCATCCTGAAGAAGGGGTGACTTATGCTGCACCCAGCTTCCAAGTGGTGGTTGGGACCTGAACTCAAGTCCTGGACACCACATCTGTGCTCTCAAAGGCCACCACCAAGGTCATATGTCCAAGCTCAGACCCTCACATTTCTGATGCAGCAAAACTGATTAAAACTTCAGGGGCCCCTCCTGTATGGAACATGCTGGATCACTATTTGGTGCGAACACACCCTGAATGCGCATGTTAATCACTATCTTGAGAACATAGAGGTCCTGTCCTCCTTCTATATTCCCATCAAGCAGAATGTGCAGAAAAATGGTTTTTTTCAGCATTCAAGGTTACGGGCTCCCAAGGATGGCCAACCCGGAGTGTCTCCCTTGTAACGAAGAGTGTCCAGGCGTCAGGCTTGGATCTCCTTGGAGGGCTGGCCCTGTAAGGAGGGAGGGGCTGCAGAGAGTCACTAGGCTCAGTTGCTGTACTATACAAGCTGGCTGTATATAGGTGCTTTGTCCAGCTGTCCACTCCCGGGCTCTCTGTATGTAAGCTCCCCCACTAGACCTATGTCTCAATTACTGTCTCCAGGACTTTTCTCTGGCCTCATGGAAGCATTACCCACCCACCCTAGTCTGCTAGGGTGCACACCCCCACCCAGAGAAGAACAACCCTCTATTATCACCTCTGATGGAGAAGCACTGCCCTCCAGCTGGAGCCCATAACGTGATTTAATCCACTCCAGCGTCTGCACAGAGCTCCTGCCTTCATTACCTCGGCCCCAAACATCCGAGTAAATTAGTCACGGGGGAAGGCTGCAGGCTGCAGAAGGTAATAAAACATATTGACACTGGCAAGAGTTAATTAAAGCTTTCACAAGAGTTCGCTCAAGAAGGGCTTTTGAGTTCAAACCAAACCCCAAAAGCATGGGGAAATTAATGAAATTCACACCTATCCCCAGCCTGGCCATCTAGGTGGGTACTAATAAGCCATTGACAATTAACGCAAGTTTACTCCTTCTTAAATAACTAAATTTGCAAAAGTGTACTGTGAAAGACAGCATCCCCAGTCTGCAGACAGAGGCAAAGGCAGTCTTAGAGATACACACTTGTTTTTTTTACAGAACATTTTAGCTTTGGGCAGAGAGGAAATAAATAAAAGCAAAGTAAGTTCATCGGGTGCACCGGTTCATTCAGGTCGAATGATGATGCCTCTCCCTGGGGACACGGCCAGACCCCATCTCAGACAGTCAGTGGAGTCAATGGACACCGAGGTAGAGAGGAGAGCCAGGGAAGCCACTAGGAGGACCTGAGCCAGCAGCTGCAGACACACAACCTTCCCTGGGGGACCACACACAGGACAGGAGCAAGTTGCCACAGGGAAGGCGCCTGCCCAACCCCCTGCAACCAGCTGTATTTGGGGCCACCAGGAGAGGGGTGGGGTGGCCTCCCTTGGGGTAAAGACTGGGGCACCCTCAGACCAGAAGCATGTTTCCAGACCCAAGACTTTCCCTAAAGGGACACCCAAGACTTTCTACACAGTTATTTTAGGATTAACTGTACCCCCAAGTGGCTGTGTAAGCTTAGACCAGCAATTCTCAAAGTGGGGGCCTAGGCGAGCTGTGTCAGGCATACTTGGGAGCTTGCTAGAAATGCACACGCACGGACCCTGCCAGCCACCTCCTGAACGGGAAGCCCTGAAGGAGTGCCCAGCCTCCGGGTTCTAACAACTCCAGGGAGTTCTGACTCTCTGTTCTCAGTGCCTTTCATTTGAATAGTCACACCTGGGAGGGCCTGCCATTGGGACCCGGGCACAGAAGGGGGCTTGGTGACAGCCAGAATAGTTGTAACGGGGAATTGTAACAGGTAGTGAGTTTCCCATCTCCAGGGGAATTTAAACAGAGGCCAAACAGTCATTGGGCAGAGTGGAGTCCCCAGGATTCAACATCCACTGAAGCATGGCTTACTTTGTGCTGCACAAAAACAGTAAGACAGACTGATGGATGGACAGATCATAAAGCAAATGTAGAAAAAGTTAATTGTGGAATGAATTAGGGGGTGGGCTTTCATTCAACATTTCTGAAAATTTTTATAATAAAATGTTGTGTGAAGAAATCAAGTGAAGGGCGCCTGGGTGGCTCAGATGGTTAAGCGTCTGCCTTCAGCTCAGGTCATGATCCCAGGGTCCTGGGATCAAGTCCCGCATCGGGCTTCCCGCTCCTTGGGAGCCTGCTTCTCCCTCTGTTTCTCTCTGTCTCTCATGAATAAATAAATAAAATCTTTAAAAAAAAAAAAAAGAAATCAAGTGAAGAACTTCATGTAATAACCATCCTTTGATCCTGGCCTATGGTTCTCTGACACTGAGTCCTACCACACACACAGTGTCATGTGTGTGTGGTAGGACTCAGCCAGCCGGAGGGTCGGATCAGTACCAGAGGCAGATTCCCCTGCAAGAGCAGAGATCACTAAAGATGGGATGAAGGTGAGGGAAGGGGTAAAACCAACCCCTAAATTCTCCCACACGAAGGGGGCTTGTTCAAGAAGGACCAAATTAGAGTCCGGGAATTGCGATCTGGAGACTTTTTACAAGAACTACAGAAACTAATGGTAGGAGGAAAGCCACTGATATGTTATCCGTGGTTCCATGTCAGCATCAAGCCAAATGAATGACACCCAAGAGTTACAGACGCCCGAGGGAAGATACATCCAGAGCACATAATTAATGCAGTAATACATGAGTCACCAGACGCAGAGGGTGACTGAGGCAGAGATGCCATCTCCATCATTTAAGTCAACAAACATTCCATGAAAAATGCCGAGAGTAAACACGGAGGCCGACCAGGGCCATGGGGCAGGTGTGTCCAGGGAGTGGTCAGCCTGAGAACCATGTGGAGACACAGCTGTGCATGAGGGTCTACCTGGATCCCCAGGAGCTTTTAAAATGCTTATCCTCTTGGGACGCCTGGGTGGCTCAGTCGGTTAAGCGTCTGACTTTGGCTCAGGTCATGATCCGGGGTCCCGGGATCAAGCCCCGCAATAGGCTCCCTGCTTAGCAGGGAGCCTACTTCTCCCTCTCCCTCTGCTGCTCCCCCTGCTTGTTCTGTCTCTCATAAATAAATTTTAAAAATCTTAAAAAATAAAATAAAATAAAATGCTCATTCGCAGCTCCACACCCAGGTCCACAGAATGGGGGTTCACTGAGAAGCAAATAGGTTGCATTTTCACCAAGTTTGCAGGGCTACTCTGATGAGCAGCCACCATAAGAACGAAGACTCACCCTGAAAGTTACCTGTGCCAGAAGCAGGTGCTCTTGGGGTCCCACCCACATCCCAGTGCCTCAGTGGGGACAGAAGGGGACTGCAGGCACCAAATCTGCCTGAGTACTCTCTTACCAGTCCCAAGACAGCCCTCAGCCCATGACCCTGCAGCTTCCTGTCCCTCCAGAACACTGGCTCAGAGACCCCCAGATGCCCCACGAGAACCTGCTCATTAGCCCACCCTGAATGCTGTGTCCCCGCCCCACTCTTCCGGCCATGTCTCCTGCTGTGAAAATAGGACCACCCAAATGAGAACAAGCAAAATCTACTTTTTCAGAACTTGTGATGGCAAGGGAGGTGAGCCACCATCTCCTGCATGTGGCAGGGACATAAGCCAGGGAATGGGAGAGCTTTATGACGGGAAAAAGGGAAGGTTTCAGGTTGGTCTGGGGACGCTGCAGGGCAGGCAGACGATTAGATAGGGCATCCCATGGGACTAGTTAGGGAAGCATATTTGCTTTCTTCTCTGGTTGATGGTAAGTCGGATACAGGGTAGCTGGCAGTTATTGACCAAGCCTGACCGTTGGGCCAATTGCTACAGAGGTTGTGGTCTGGCTTCCTGGGCTGGTGTTGCAAGCTGTGGGTCAGAATCCTATTGTCACTGACAGTCTGGCCGCTGTCTGTCCTGTGCACGTGTCTCTCCCTGCGATCGCCTCCCTGCTATGCTGGGTACACCCCAACCTCTGTCTTCGCGTCTGTTCCAGGGACTTAGCATGGGACCTTCCCTGAAAGAGAAGGATGAAGGCTGATTGGCTTGTGAGACAGCTGAGCTGGGGGCATGCCCCCGAGGCCTCCCCAGCTCGTGGCCACCTTGCAGGCTATGAGAGTGCTCATCTAGTCAGGGGTCAGCCCTAAGCTTGGCAGCAACGCACAGAGGTCTTGCTCTTCCTGACATACAGGGCTCACAGGTCAATGCCCCCAGAGATGCCCAGGCCCTGACCATGAGACCAGTTTGCAGATGTGATTAAGGACAGTGGGGTGGGGGTGGGGGGGTTGTCCTGGTCAGCCAGGTGATCCGTCAGTGTAATCACACGAATCCCTAAAGGGCAGAGAACCTGCCTTTGGTCAGAGAGATGTAAAGAGGGAAGACATGTCAGAGAGATGCCTTCCCCCGGCAGTCAGCAGTCCCCATGTCCCTGGGATGGCACTGGGCTCTGGACACCGAGGCATCCTGCCTTGTGCCTTTTCTTCTTCATCCTCTCTGGTGCCAGCCTCGTCCAGGCATCGCCCAGCATCCCAGCTCCAAACCCCTGGAGTGGGGAGGCTTCCCTGGCAGTCCTTGCACATTCAAGGGGCTGCAGGTCATGGGGGCATCTCAGCAGGGCAGGTGGGGGACGATTTAGGGTGAACACACCGTCAATTTCCACACGGCCCTTGGCTCTCCCAGTGCCAGGTCATAGGTCACACTGCTGTCACTGTTCTGCAGGGTGAGACTTAAAGGGCCTTGCCAGTGACTATAAAACAAGGTTCACTCTCAACGCCACCACTCGTTCCCCTGGGCTCAGGCAGCTCCAAGAATGACCCAAAGGTCCAAGACCACATGATGATGCCTGGACCGGCCTGCACTGTCCCTAGCTGGAGCCACAGGGAAGCGGCATGACTGCCCTAACAAGGAGCACCCCAACACCTGCATGCCATGCCCTTGCTGGTGCTCCTCCTTTCCTTCCACAAGAGCTCCTACCTAATCATCAGAACCCGACTTCAATATCCCTTCTACGAAGACAGTGCATCCCACCTGTTATGGATGAGTTCCCTGGGGATCAAATGAGATGGCGCTGGGTGAGCAGGAGACTGGTGGGGAGTGAGGGCAGCTGGAACTCAGGAGCAGCGACGGGCGTGCAGAGATGTCCTGCCATGAACCAAGGGGATGCAGGCTGCCCCTGGGAAAGGGTGCGACTCCGGCAAGGTGGCTCTCTTCGGCCAAGGACGACCCTCCCAGGGCTGGGGAAGTAAGTACCCAGCAGTGGCCTGTGCCCATGGAGCAGCCCAAGCAGAGCGAGCATCCCCCTGCTTGCTGGGCAGCACCGCCTATCCCAGCGACACATTCTCCCCTGCAGGTGAGTTCCTTAGCACCAAGCCCGGGCCTCGGACACCTTTAGGACAGGCACGGATGGCGCGGCAGACAGAGCTCTGGTCTCCAGACCTCCACCTGGATCTGACTGAGGGCGTGCTGCCTGCTTCAGAATGCTCACACCTAGTCACCGTCAGAGCAACACAGCCCGGTGAAGAGTCCAGTCCCCACACGGTGAGCATGTAGCAGGGCTTCTGGGGACACTTAGCCATAAAACGTAAGGGTGAGAGGAGTGAAGGAAACACCTCCCGTCCTGTCAGTACCAGGTTCTGTTCCTGCTCTGGTGACCAAACCAGAGCCCTGCGGCTGGCCAGTGTGCACAGCTGATGAGGCTGACCCACCAGGGCTCTGAGCTCCGGAACCCCAAGCTGAGAGCACCCCCATTCCACACAGGAGAACCATGTGGAAAGAGCTAGCAACTCTGTCCGACGAAGTTCACCAGGCTACAGACAGGTAAGTAAAATACAGAATGCCCAGTTAAATTTGAATTTCAGATAATGAATAATTTTTAGTCCAAGCATGTCCCACGCCATATTTAGGATATACTTTTACTAATAATTCACTTGTTGTTCAAATTTAGCTTGGTGCCTCGTATTTTAACTGGCAACCTTAGGTGATGGGACACGCCAGGCCTTTAAGTCACCTCCATGCAGAGGCCACAGCACTGGCCACAGGGAAGACAGGGTTGTGTCCAGCTTCCAAGAACTAAGTCCACTTCAGTGTGCTGAAAACTGACCATGCTTGTGCACCTGAATTCAGTTTCCACCCTTTGATCTGGGCTTCCGTCCCCACTAGAAAGTTCCTCCGTTCTCCTGGTAAAAACCAGCTCTGCACACCCCCAGACTGGCTGGCCCCTGGCAAGCACATACCCTTGGTCCTGACCCAGACACAAACCCGCTTCCCATCTGTGTCAGCTGGGGCCCTTCCATGTTGAGGGGGGAAAAAAACTTGAAAATCCAACATGAATGGTCTTACATGGTAAGGGATTTTTATAAGAACTCATAACTGGAAGATCTAGCAGTATGTGATCTTCGGGGTGGGTTGATTCAGGGGTCGCCATGGCTGAATCTCTACAATCCTCCCCTCTTGAGGCTTCCTCCTCAGCCTGCCCTCTTGTACCAAGACACCTTCTAGCTCTGGGGGCTACATACTGCTTTATTCATCCCAGGGAGAAGGAGGGAAGGAAGGAGAGGGAGCAGGATGGAGGAATGAGAGATAGCTATTCCTCCCTCAATTATAAAGGGAGTCCTTCAGTGAACTCTAATTGAGGTACCTTCAGTCACTTGCCCACCTGAACCAACTGAGTTGACGACATGGGCCAATCAGAACCCACTCCGTGAGCTGGGGTGGTGTTAGTCCGAACCCCTTGTCTACAAGGCCAGCATGCTGACTTCCTCACTGCCCGGCCCTGGCCGCGTCTACCATGATGGCAACAGGCGGCACCTTCACTGGGTAGATAAAGTCAGGGAGACAGGGTCCCTTTCCAAGAGGTTTAGACCTGAATCTTTTCTGGACCCACCTGCGGCAGACAACTCGCCCACATCGATGCACCCCCTCCCACGTGCTTTTCTTATGAAGTGACAGTGACACTGTCCTGCTGAGACTCGAGTTTGTTTCCTATCCTCTGAACCTAGATGGTCTGTGGTGACGGCGGAAGGAACGCCGCGCTCATTTCTTGGATCACAGCGCCAGCATGTGGATAAAATGCTCCTCACACTCCCAACAGCCCTGGAGAAGAGGGTAAACTGCATTCTCTGTGAACGGAGAGATACAAAGACAAAAACCCGTCTGGTGGCCTCACCACTCAGATAACCACCAATGACTCTA